GATCGATTCCCATTCTCGTGGGTATGGACAGGGAATGCCTGTTTTCTTCGTCTCTTGAGCGGAGATCAATGTGTTGATTTTGCTCTCGAGATCTTTGATCTTCAAGTCTTCACTTGTATCTTCGTTGGCATCCTCGTTACCACCCCCTGTATTGACAGGAGGGTTATTGGCATTGTGAGCTTCATCCCTATCTGCGTGCTCCTTTTCCTGAATAATCTGGTTACGGCGGTTCGATTCACTTTGCTGGTTCCTGAATGCATGGATTTGCTGCTCATGCATCTCTCTCATCTGCTGCATGGCCATCTCCATCTCGAATTTGAAACTTTCTTTCTGCTTAGCCAAAGCGTCTTCAAGCATCTTGGCCATTTCTTCCGCGCTTATCATAAATGACTCGCGGGGTTGTCCTTCGCTGGACACTGTATTGTCCGATGCGACAGCAGAGCAGGAATCCGATTCTTCATCTTCCGAAGGCAATCTTGTCCGAACCCTACCATAAGTTCCTCGTGCGATGGCTCCGGACTGCAGACGGGTTACACGCCGGGACGCTTCCAGAAACGATTTGAGATCAATCTGTGTCGATGTCTCTTTGCTGGTCATGTTGGCGGTGACCCTCGGAAATTCTCCGTCTTTAACCACCGTTCTTATAAAACAAAGTAAAGATTACAATTTTCCTTATTTGTCGAACTAATCGCGAGCTCCTGTTTTGCGGTCGCTCGCTTGTGTGGGTTCTTTGCCTACGCCGGGGTTTATCCGTGGACCACCGCGAGATCTAGATCCGGTCGGATCTACGCAGTACGACGGGTATTATTTCACCAAGGAAATAATAGCCGGGGAGGATTGTTTCACCAAGGAAACAATCGTCCAAGTCTCGGGATCTAAGACCAAGCTTAGATCCGGAGTGTGACTGCGTAGATCTGAGATCCGGTCCTCTCGAACACCTGCCTTATTTGACGTTGATGATCGCCGAGCACCAGATCTGAAGGAGTGAGTCCCCGCAGTCCCAAAGCTTCAATCTTTTTTAAGTTCCGAGTCTCCAATCCAGCAGGGCTTCGCCTCTCCAAATTTTACAACCTTTTAAAAATGAGCCTACAGCCCTCTATTTATAGGCATTGAAAGCGGATCTGGGCCCAGATCTGGGCCCAGATCCGAGCTGGCTCGGCCAGGTGGCTCGGCCAGGCCGAGACACTTGTGAGTGTATCGGGTATTTTGATCATAACGTTCTCATATGATCTTCAAATGACCTGATACAAGATGCATTAGAAAGCCGACAAAGCAATCTACAACTTTCATGTTTTGAGTTTCTTCAGATTCAAATCGGATCATGGTTGAAATATCAGTTCTTTGTGCGAGCCACCAAATGGATTCCAGATTTGGCAGTAAGTCCGGATCCTGATTAGGCAGTAAATCCACTTCTGAATCTGAGTCCGAAACTGATCTTGATTCGATCGTGATTCGTTCGAGTCCGCTCTCGGTTGGATGACTCGTTGACTCTTCGAACACTTGGCTTGATCCCGCACGCGAATGGATGTATTCCGTTGCTTGCGTGCGATTCGTCGATCTCGTCACCTCGTTGGTTTGTCGGTTCGTGCCGAGCTGAGCTAAGGGACATATAAGCAATTTTATATGCCTACAAAAACAAAAACTCAAAACTGCCATTTGCCCTTGTTCCCCCCAAAACTTGACTGTCTTCTCTCTCTCTCCCTCTTCGCTCTTCGCAAACCTAGCTCATCTCGAGAACCCATTTTCAAAACCTAAATTCACTCAAGCATCCAGGAAAACCAAAAAGAAAAATGCCCAAAAAAATTTAAGAAAAATGGGCGAGAAGCCTGAGGAAGAGAAGGGTGAAGGAGATTCCACACAAACGGAAGTGGTTCTCCACCGGCGACGCTCGGCGCTATTGGTGAAGGAGGAAATGCCAAACTTAACCGCCTTCACCTCCGCCTATGCCCTCATATGTCTCACCGGTGGTTCTCCTCTGACATCCTCTGAGTACGAGGAGAGTAACGAGGCGACGAAAACCCTATTGAGCATTAAAAGGGTACTGGAAAATCGAGAGCGGAAGAGGAGACGCTCGGCGAAAGAAGTGTTCACCTCCAAGAAGAAGTAAGTTCCCAATCAATTGCGTGATTTTGAATTTAATTAATTTAATTGAGTGATTTGAATTTAATTGAGGTTTATGGGTTCTGTTTATGAGAATATATTGGTCAGAAACTGGTTATTGTAGTGTAGAACCAGTTTCTTACTTTTGGAGTAAGATCTGAACAATATGAAGTATAATTGTTTGGAAGAAATGCATGCTAATAATTCATATAGTTGTTTGCTAGTGGCAATGCATGTCAATAATTCTCGTTTGTTGTTAACGTTTACCCTTAAGTGCCAACTATTAGCTATCCATGTTAATAAATATTAACTTTTAATAAGTTAATGCCTTTACTGCTAACTGTTACCTAATTTGAATTTGAACGATTTGTTAAGAGTAAATAGTTGTTTATGTAGGAAAGTTGATGCTGTAGGTGATATAAGGCCTAGTAGGGCTGGGCATATTCGGTTCGGGTCGGTTTTAAGCCAAATCCGCATTCAATCCGAATTTTTCGGATTCTCAAAACTCTCATCCAGATTCAGATTTTTCCCCCTTCATTCGAATATTCGGCCCAACCGAAATTCGTTTTGGGTCGGATCGGTTTCGGTTTTGGGCCGAACTAACTTCATTTCACAAAAATCTAGGCAAGTTTGAAGTCAATATAGGAACTTCCAACTCTTCAAATAAGCTCCACTAAGCCTGCACACTTGTGTCAGATTATGTTAAATTGAAGCAGTGCTGGTGTTGTAATAAGTAATGAGAGGAATGGATGGCAACATCTTAAAATGGAGCAAGAGCATCATTAGACTAATAAAACTGATTAAGATATGATCATCAACCATTCAGTTTGCAGGGGATATTAACCTCTGAATACAACTGCTGTATATGATAGCCTTCTTAAGGAGATTGGCCAATGGCTCCTGAATCCCTCTCAGACGGGGTTCGCTAGTAGGTTAATATTTGAAGAATTAGTATCTAACAAGTCTCTCAAGTACCTTTTTTTCTTAAGAACCTTGGCTTCAATAAAAATTCTAGGTGACTAAACTGAGTGACCTTTACATTCTAATTACCTTTATAAAGCGACACTACCAACAAACCTCATCATGCTATATACAACAGCCTTGTTGACCACTTTGCATACTTCTAGTTCTATATTTATTTTTGTATTATCATTGGTATTTCTGTTCTGTGTTGAAAAGTGTTGATATCTGGTCAAAGAAAAGCCTTATATGTAAGGAATAGAGGCTCTGACTTTGCCTGCATAAATTCGATAATGTATGGATGTAAAGACTGCTGTTTGTGTAAGTTACTGAGAAGAATAGAGGCTCTGACTTTTCTTCTATTTTGTGGAGCTTATTTTGAGAAGGAGAGGCGAGAGGGCGGTTTTGTGGGAGAAATGGAGACAGGGTTAGGGATTTTTAACTATTTATATTAGAGAATTCGGGTCGATTTTTTCGGGCGGTTCTGGGGTTCAAACCGGATCCAAACCGGTTTAATCCGGTTCGGGCGGTTTAGAGCCGTCTTCTCATCCATTTAATCCGGTTCGGTTAACCGGTCCGCTTTTTCGGACGGTTTTTTCGGTTGAACCGGTTTTTTTCGGTTTTTGCCCACCCCTAAGGCCTAGTGCATGTTTCGGATCGTATTGTATATTCATGCAAAAACTTCAACCAAAAATAAAAAAGTGGCATTAGGATGCCTACAAGGGCACTAACTTTGAGCACTATGTATTCTTCGGACCTCCAGCACGTGATCGATGGGCACTAGAACATGTGCCCAGTCATTATGATGTCGAAACTGATGAATTCTCTTTTCCCGATCCCCAAATAGGGTCTCTAGTTTCAGTCAAATTTGATGAAGAGTGGGTGCAAACTCACACGGGCATCCCTATTGATGGAGAGTTGATCTATGGGAATAGAGACCCTCGCAACTGGCTTTGGAGGGAGTACTTTGAAGATAAGAAAGAAATGTTGAAGGACAAGCCAAAGGCAAAGGCAAAGGCAAAGGCTACAGAAGAAGCTGGTAGCATGAGAAAATATGTTGAAGAGTTACTGGAGACACTTGTTGAGTCAAGTGATAATAAGGACATTGAGGATTTTGTGCTTCTTCAGATTTTGTACCAGTGTTCAATAATTTGGTGCCCGAATAGCTCACAAGGCATCCCAAGGCAGTTGTTTCAATATGTAGATAGTATTGAGAGAGTGAAGAACATTACGTGGGGTAAATTTATTTTTGACGAGACGAAGAGAGGCATTCAAATTGCCGTTGAAGGGTTGAGGAAGCCAGGGGTTACGTACGTACCCGGATGCATGCCGCTCATCCCTTAAAGTTGCATGTTCATATATGGTTTAACATTTGTTTTAGTTATTAATAGTTTTGGTTACAGGCAATAGATAACATGTTCAAGATTGAATGTTAACATGATATGGTGACAAATTAACATGTTAACATAAAAGTTAACATGGAAACCTGAAAGTTAACATGTTTAAGTAAAAGTTAACATGTACTCATGAATGCTAACCTGTAATAGTGAAAGTTAACCTTTTAACTCTGAAAGTTAGCTATTTAGAATGAAGTTGAACAAAGTGTTTTGACAGTTAGGAAAATTATGTCAAATATTTATTGCTTCTATTTTGACAGCTATGGTACTATGAGATTTCAGGCATTAAAAAACCAGCCCTAAACTTGAGATGAAAGCCTCCGTTGACCAATTGGGTAAGGGTCGGAGGGACGGATGGATCGTTGAGGAGGGAGACAATAATCTCCAAGGAAAAAAAATAAACATTAAGATTAAGGATAAACCAATTTCAACCAACAGCCCATGGGGTGAGAAATACCCTCAAAGGGAGCCCAGCGGGAAGAATAATACTAGTGCTCGTCTTGGAAAAAAAGGATTCCGCCTATATCATCTAAGAGTAAAGATATGGTGGTTTCACTGCCGAGGAAGAAGGAGAAGATAGAAAAGGTAAAGGATGAGAAGCAAGCGAGGGTGAAGGGCAGACCAAATAGCTCATCCGTAGGATATGTAAGCATCAATAACCATTTACTGATTTTTTCCACATTTATATTGGTTGAAATTTTGTAACTTCATCATTAATTCATTTTCGATTTGCATTGTTTCATGTTTGGTTTCTTTGTACAAGATAATTACATTGTTTCATGTTAAGTTAGTGCCCAATGTAAATGATCATGTTAGTACATGTATTTCCTTAACAATCATGATAACTTCTAACGTTTTATGTTATATTTCATGAAGTTGTGCTCATGTTAGTTTTCAGATTAACATGTTAGCTTTTCATAACTTTTATTCTTAATTTTGTGGATTTACATGGTAATGGGGACATGGTTATGTTTTCAGATTTTCTCCCATCATATCAGGGATGCGTTTGAAAGAGAAGATGAAGTAGAGAAGTTGACCAGTGATCAGCAAATTCAGTTCTGGAGGAATACTGGCAAATTATATTAGAAATTGCTCCATGCCACAAAGCATGGTAAGCGCCTTCAATGGGATGTTTGCTCTAAGGAGATACATAGGCTGAATAGAAAATTGGAGTTCTACGAAGGAACTGCTGATCCGGTTGATCCCGAAGACCTGAAGAAAAATGTGGAGGTTATTATATCCAAGAGTGATAGGCATACAAGAGATGCACATGTGAAGAGGAAAAGTAGTATTGATAGCATTGACAAGGGTGACAATGTCGATTGCTTCAATTATCATGATGTGTGCGTTATTGGTAAGAAAGCCTCTCATATTGCGGAGGATGTAGCGCAAGCAGAGCAGGAGGTAGATAAAGTTGACCAAGACAAGGATGAAGAGAAGGGAGGGGAAGATAAAGAGGAAGAGATGGAAGAGAGAGAGCAGGAGAAGAAAGAGGAAGATAAAGAGGAGGACGAGAAAGAGGAAGATAGAGAGAAAGAGTTGTTTGAGGAAGATAGAGAGCAAGAGAATAAAGAGGAAGATACAGAGGCATCTGAGAAAGATGAAGATAGAGAGGAGTACTTTGAAGAGGAAGATAGAGAGCAGGAGATGAAAGTAGACGAGAAAGAGGAAGAGAGATAGAGCAGGAGATGATTAAGGAAGGGAAGGAAGAAGAGAAGAGAAGTGTAGAGAAAGTGGTGGAGAGGAAAGTGGAGGAGAAAGACTTGCTACAAGTTTATCAAAAGAGATCGAAGAAAGTTTTTTCCAAGGGGACAAGGGGACCAAGTACCAGAATCAGGACGTGATCTCAGCTAGTCTGAATCCCTTTCATTGAAGAAAAGAAGAAGGTAGCCCATCCAGATATAATTACAATTTCACACCACAAGGAGGATGATAGGAAAAAAAATCAGATACTACTGCAAACATGGTGAATGCACTTGGGATTTTTAAAAGAACAGGAAAATCAAGAAGGAGGAGTCTTTGTTGAAGTTGCTGAACAATGGTATTCCTGTTGTTGATGATTTTAGCATACGCTTAGTTGATAGTGAAAGAACCTTTGTTCACAACTTTAGAATACCCCATCATGTAGCGGCAAAGCTCACACTAGAGGAGAACAGATGGGTCTCAGAGTTTTGCGATCAGAAAGCTCATCAATAAGTTTAATTCATGTAAACTAATGTATCTATATGCATGTTTATGTTAACAGATACATGCTAACTTATGCCCATTTATATTAACCTTTGCTAGAAATTGTTATTGTTCATTGTTATATGTTAACGTTTCCGGAATTATGTTAACTTATGCACATTTATGTTAAACTTTGCTAGAACATGTAAGCTTTCATTAGAGGTTATATGATCATATCTGCAAACATCAAAATAATAGAAAGTATGACCAACATCCAATATATAATAAGATTAACACATAGCCACAAGACTTAACATTTAGTAGGGAACATTAACATAACTACATGAAAGTTAACATATATTGGTAAACACTAACATATATCAGCGATAGTTAACCTGCAAAAGGGAAAATTCACATAAGCCAAATAGTTAACATATATCAGCGATAGTTAACCTACAGAAGGGAAAATTCACTCATAATGATTGAGTGCAGTACCTAATGCCAGGGAAGAATGCATTTGCCCAATGCTCTGGCGAGTAGTTAATTGCAATCTTATATGCAGCTGGAGACATCTCATATATATCCTTCATGTAGTCGTTCCATTCCGCAATAGTATATTTATAGCAAGCTGATTGGAGCAAATTCCCCAAAACTTTAGTGTCCTTTGACTTCATTCCCAAAGCCTTTAGCTTTGATCTAAAAATTTTAACCAGGTGCAGAACACATCTTGAGTGAATTGCTTTAGGGAAATATTCTCTCACCACTTCTCGGATCCCCTTGTCGGCATCAGAAATAATAACCAACTGATGGGGAGGATAGTATGGGTCTGACCTTTCATACAGTATGGACCACAGGCCTTGAAGAAACCATCTTCAATTATCAATATTTTCCTGATCACATATGCAATACGCAAGTGGAAATATCCCTTGGTCTCCATCATATGCTATAGCGCTCCGGAACGTGCCTTTGTATCTGTCTTTCAAAAAGGTCTCATCCAAAAATAATAGGGGTCTACAACCATTTAAGAAACTAATGATGCAAGCAGCATAACATATAAACAGTCTTCTGAACTTTCCTTCATTCTGGTCGATGCAAATGTAGCTTCCTGGATTCGTTTCCTTCACCTTTTGCTCATACCTATACAACAATGTGACCACATTTCACATAAATATAATACATTGGAACATAAGGGTAATATATATTAACATAAAAGCTCACAATTTTTCATGAAACATAACAGTCCACGGTGACAGCTAAAATATATATTAATAAAAATTAACATGAAGCATCTAAGGGAAATATATTGCACGATAAATTAACTAATAACATTGTGGGTGGAGCGACTACGATCAAAATTTGTACATTTAAACAGATAACTGTAAAATTTACCATCTTAATTGATCGTAAGACTCATAACTAAAACCGTACATAGCCTCTTGCGCTCTTTCTTTGCCCCACCATATCTTACTGTATTCAAGTCTCAATCCATATCGAGTGAGGAACTCTTTTTGCACATCTTTTGGGTGGATTTCAGGTCGAACCTTTAAGACAGGTCGTAATTGGGCTGCTATGAATCTGTGAGATGCTCGTTATTGCTCTGACAAGTTAGTATGTTGTCTGCAACTGTGTTCATTCACAAACCTTTTGATTTCAATTCCTTTTTTATTTTTAACAGGAGATGCAAATAGCATCCAAGGGCATCCATATGTCTCCTTATATCGACAAATAACTCGGATACGTTTAGGTTCATTCTTTACAAATTCATAGTCAAACTTTTTCGTCATGGAATAGTATTGCAAAGCTAGTCTCAAATCATTTACAGTTTTAAATTATTGGCCGATTTTAGTTAATGTTGTGTGCCACCATTGAGGAATGTTAAAAGTGTTATTGAGAATATCATCAGCTCTCATTACAATCTCACCAGACAGGCAATCATTTTATATTCTCTCTGAATTAGAAGCATTTCCTTGAGGAGGAGGATGACAATATTCTTCATTCAAAGAGGCATCACTGCTGCACAAATTAATCAACCAGTGAGATATCTTGTACACTATAGTATAACATAATCTTCTGATATTTTAAATTAACCATTTTCCGTATAAATTAAAAAAGAGCAGTGGAATTTAATAGACAAAATGCATAGTTAACTCGTTATGATGAAAGCTAACATGATCACACGAAAGTTAACATGTTCACGTGAAGGATAACATATCTCATTGAAACTTAATATGAAAGATGAAGAGTTAACGTATAACCATCGAAGATGACAACTATGTTTTTCGACTGTGCATCGAAACCTGAAATAACAATTTTTATATCACACAATCCCAGTTTTTACTAGAGTTCATTGTTTACATATAAATCAGTAATAACTTTGTGCTTTCTTTAAGATGTAGGACACTCCATGTTATCAAAAATTTGCATTTGAATCTCCATACAACAAGTGTAAATATTGTGATCCAACATGCACTTCATGATAGGAAGAATATAGCATTAACGCATAACAACACCGTGCACATCAAGTATTTGGCGGCCGTTTGGGGTTGTTGACAGTTATGAGGACAATTACGAGGTGAAATTGAAGGGATTTAAAGCGCATAAAGGGTTTTGGAAAGATGAAGGGAAAAAACACTTAAAATGTTTTTCGACTTTACCTTAAAACCTAAAATCAATATGTTTACTTCACACAAAGCTCAATGTTATAAAGAGTCATTAATTACTTACATTCCACTAATAACTTTCTATTTTTTTCAGAACTGGAACACACTATATTAACATATGACGCCCTAGGGTTCACACAAGGCTGCAGTCCCAGATGAAACCCGGATTGTCAAACCTGCCAAGCACCAACTACCATACTACAACATGTTTCACTATCACAATCACTATCTCTCTAGTGGAAATAATAAATAGGTGAAGGTACAGACAGGCAAAAATAGCAAGAGGCAACACTAGATATACACAGAAGAAGCATCCAACTGAAATAAAATAGAAATATCTTTAAGTATAAAATGGATCTCAAATACAATGAGTCAAATAAACAAAGTCTCACAAAAGCTCTCAACTCTAAACTAAAATACCAATCTAGAGTCTGAAAATAATTAACAACATGCGGAGTTCTGCAATAACTTCAAAGTATAATAAGTAGCTAATTGGACAACTAAGAAGTCCCATCAACCTGCGACTCTCCGTACGCCAGACTCGCTGCATGAAAGAGGGGAAACAACGAGCGTCAAAGTGCTAGTGAGATCATCAGTACCTCTCCCCAGGGGAAGGGGTAGGAATATATAAGAAAATAGAGTCAGTACTTACATATATCATATCATTCATATAGCTCTCTATGAAAAACAAATAGTTAAGGAAACATACTCAAATCTCCAACATAAAGAATAAATACATCATCTCGAATTACATCCGAGTAGCCTTCTCTAATATAAGAGGATGTCAACCAAACCAAAACGAATATAACTGTCGTCCATAACGGGTGTGCCAAAATCTTAAAGGAAATACCCTACTCACGAGTAATCTATCATGGAAGTAAAACTTACAACTGATCAAATATCTATGTGTGCAGCATCTTTTGCTATAGCGATACTCTTATAATGCTCTTACTCAATCGCTCTGCGACAATAGGATTTACTATCTCCCTATTCCGGATACATGTAATAGCGATATTATTGTAATACTCTTACTCAATCGTTCTGCGGTAATATGTTTTATCTTCCTATTTCTGGATACGTGAAAGATCAAATACTAGTCATGTGTATTTATAAAATTTAACTTATGACAAAAGTGTGTTAATTTAACCCAAACCAAGCCTAAGTGCACATATCTCGGTGTGCGAGTCCACATCTGAAGTCCACCATCATCCCAGGTGTTTAACAAGTTTTAACATTGTAGTTAATGATCACAAGGTTGAGAGAAACGCTCGACAAATCGAAATCAAGCCAAAACCATACACAGGCCAATATCAGACTGACGGTCGACCGTGACGGTCGACCGCGACGGGCTCCAGAGACTACCCAGGTCTCTGCCCTGCACGCGGTCGACCGTGACGGTCGACCGTGAGCCCGAAATCTAGTTTTTTTCTAGATTTTTGTGTGTATCGTGTTCACATCGTGTTTTTTTTGTGATTCAAACATGGTAAAAACTTGATGAATCTTGCATATAAACATGTTACAGCAGATAGAAATATCTGGAAACAAAATCAACATATATAACCATGATTTTATGCATTATATTTATATTCAAAACCCTAAAACATGCATAAAAGCTAAAAACGATGAATCAAACTTCTTTCTTTAGATTAACCACGTTTTAAAATCATCTTCAGATCTTAAATACATTTGTAAAATTTGTTCTCAACCTTTTTAGCATAAAAAGACCTAATCTTTATACATATAATACAAACGAGTTGTCTTTTGTTCATTCTAGTCATTTAGGCTCTACAAAATATGATTAAATCTCTTTAAAAACATTTTAAAAACTGGGAGGGGGATTAGCAGAGATGATACTCCCCTGAGATTGTCGAAAAACATTTTAGAAGCAAGGTTGAAAGAGATCTCCACTCTAAAAGTCAAAAACTAAGAAAAAATCTCGCTCGAAAGCCTCCAATCTTCTCCAAGAAATCAAACTAGGGTTTGAGGGGTTTGGTGGATGTTAGGGTTCTTAGGAAAACTGAGAAAAACGTGAAAAAACTCATATATATATATATCAGGGAAAACGAATATAGGTTTAGAAATTCGAAACCAACTTAAAACAGGAAAAAAATTCTCTGCAGGTTTCGCGGTCGACCGGCTGCGGTCGACCATGGCGGTCGACCGGACTGGGCATTTCCAGTTTTTTATGAGTTTGGTCATTTTGCATGTTTCGACTCTTTTCTCTCTCATGTAGGAACTCGTTCATACTCAAAACACATGGTATTATACTCATATACCATTAAATGATATTTATCATACTAAATATCCACATATCATAGTTAATCTCATATTAATATATCATTAAAAAATTATCAGGGTTTTACATAGAAAACCTTCTGCACCCATCTCATAGTATTAGCACAATGATATTTAAAGTTAACAACTTAGAATGCAAACATTCTCACCTAAATCCCTAACTAAACGAAATTGGTACGTCGAGCGAAATAATCCAAACAAGGAAACCCTTATGTATATACCATATGTTTCAAATGATTAAGGATCAGGTGACAATATCCCCATTCTAGTGTTAAAGGTAAATATAAATGTGTCTAAACAACATAGATAATGATAATTATCAAAGCATCAAAATCATACCTGTCCAAACAGGTGCGGGTAGTCGCGACGAACATCCTCCTCGTGCTCCCAAGAAATCTCTTCGTCTCCTTGCCGGTTCCACTGAACTTTCACTAATGGAATGACTTTATTTCTAAGATTTTTATTCTCTCTAGCAAGTATGCATACCGGAATCTCTACGGTAGTCAAGTCATCCTGAATCTCAATCTCTAGTGAGTCAATCACTCTCTGCTGATCATCATCTCGCAGATGCTTCTTAAGCATCGAAATATAAAAAACATCGTGTACACTCGACATCGATGCTGACAGGTCTAACCTGTAAGAAACAGCTCCAATGTGCTCGATGATCCTAAAAGGACCAACATATCTCGGGGCAAGCTTCCCCCGTCTACCGAAACGCTGAACGCCCTTCATTGGTGATACTTTTAACATAACTAAGTCTCCGACCTAAAACTCTAAAGGTCATCTCCGCTGATCTGCATAGCTCGTTTGCCGACTCTGGGCTGCAAAAATACACTCTCGAATCAATGCTACCTTTTTCGTGGTCTGTCTAACTAACTCTGGACCAATCAATAGACTATCCTCTGGCTCTGCCCAACATATGGGTGATCTGCAAGGTCTCCCGTACAAAGCTTCATACGGTGCCATCCAATTGAGTAGCCTTGGATAACTGTTATTATATGTAAATTCAATCAGTGGGATGTGATCCTCCCAGCTACCCTAAAAATCCATAATGCACGCTCTCAGCATGTCCTCTAAGATTTGATTCACCCTCTCGGTCTGACCATCTGTCTGAGGGTGAAAAACACTGCTAAATGATAACTGACTGCCAAAAGCATCCTGAAAACTCCTCTAAAAATGAGATGTGAAGTCTGAGCCCCGATCTGATACAATCATCTCCGAGACTCCATGCAATCTAACAATCTCCCGAATGAAGATCCTCGCATACATATCTGCCGTATAAGTCGTCCTCACTGGTAAGAAATGTGCAGACTTAATCAATCTGTCCACTATAACCCAAATAGAATCATTTCCTTTCTTTGACTTAGGCAACCCCACTATAAAATCCATGGAAATATCTGGCCACTTCCACTCGGGAATGGGTAAAGGCTATAGGGTTCTTGCAGGTCTCTGATGTTCTGTCTTAATCTGCTGACATGTAAAACACTTAGCCACATACTCTGAAATCTCTCTGCGCATACCACTTTACCAGAAATGTCTCTTCAGATCCTTGTACATTTTCGTCGTGCCTAGATGCACTGTATATCTGCTACGATGCACCTCATCAAAAAGTTCCTTCTTTAGTTGTAAATTATTCGGCATAACAATTCTGCCCTTCATCCGAAGGTCTCCATCTATCCCTATAGTCCAATCATCCTTGGACTCTTTAGAAATCTCCCCCTTACGGGTTTGAATCCAAGAATCCTCTATCTGAGCTTCGACCACTCTATCTCTCCAAGATGGCTATACAGATAAAGCTCCTAAAAACACACGGCTCCCACCAATCTCTG